TCCAATACTTGGTTATTTAATTCATCAATCCAAATAAGCCTTAAACGACCAGACTCGAAGTATCAAGCCTTAGACTTCCATACTCGAAATGTGGATGTTGTACGTATATTGTCATTAACTAAAGAGACTAGATGTACTATATTCTCAGATTTACATCTAAAACACGGACGTCAGTAAGAGACTTGTCAACTTAGATTCACGCTCCTTGCGACAAACCTACTAAAAGCAGAAGGATAGATTGGATATTGTTGGCTCGAAATCCAATTTATCTTGATTTTATTCTTCAGTCATATAGTGGGCTTCTCCCCCTCTTTGGGAGACAAACTTTTTGGAATAAAACTACACCCCGGTACTGGACTACAACCTACACTTCAATTGAGCTTTCACGTGGGCAATGTAGAGAGCTTTTTCTTTATGAATCTAGTTCCAGATATTTACAACAGAACAAACAGCTAGCAGTGGCCAAAAAAATCAAATATGAAAAATTTGTGAGATGGATCAAACATTCTTCATTCTGATATTGGTTATTTTTCAGTTATAATGTTTTCTAGATAATACGGATCTTCTGGTGAGACCTTTGTGATATGAATGTTTGAAATAAGAAACCCTTAGTTCAGGGGGTTTTAAGCCGATAATACAGCAAGCAGAGGCCCAGGAGAATTTTCAGTAACCTAAGAGTATTTGCTTGCGAAAAGTGGATTTTCCTGTTGTAGCTGTTTTGCGTGAGACGAGCAACAACATGTCACTAGAGGACAGTTGATTGGATCTTGTTTGACCCTGAGGCAGCGCTGTCGACGTAAGTCCTGAAAGGAGTTACAGTCTTATTAGCTAATATGTGTATAACTCTTTGAGATATTAGGTGGTGTTCACCCGTTTGGCTTCATCCACGTGATATTTGATTCGGGTCTTTTCGTCCTTTTCGTTAATTTATATCCAAACGAAATAGTCAATGATGTTATACTGACTGTTTCTCAGCTCGTCACTTAGCAATACTTATTTAGAAGAAGCAGATGATCTACAGATTTTGAAGGTTGCGACCTTTGTTGGGAAGTTTCTACTGAGGCTATCTGTTCAAGAGAATGGATAAGTGTCACCGAGTAATCTAGAGATTGATTGTTCACGAGATTGAAGTCAGTCCAAGATATCTCTTGTGTTGAGCTCATTTTTCTATTGAATGAGCTCGGAATTATGAAGAAGAAGACTTCTGTAAATATCCAAGTAGCTTCCGTCTATATTCGCAACAGTCACTTTACATCTATGTGGGATACAAGTAATATGCAGTCTAAATCGACTTATGATTCCATAAGACACTGTAAAACTAAAACAATCATCAATCAATATGCAGTTTCGACAATTTACACTGAATACGAATTAAACTAAAATCCAAATGTATGTGGATGCGATCGTATCTTTATTATGAATGGAATTACGCGAGGATAGTCAGTTAGCAGAAGGGTTTTTTGAGTTCGAGTATGTGCTCGCAGAGAGGTTACTTAAACTTAGCAATATCTGATACAGCGTTGTCTATGAAGACATCATTTAAGCTCACAAATTTTCTGTAGTAATAATGTAGCACCTACCACGGTCCCACTTTTCATCCCTACGACCTTGGTCCATGCAAAGAACTCAGTATCAAAATGATCGCAATGGTGATAATTTCGAGGATGGGGTAAAAAGCATCCGAATACTTAAGTCGACAAAACAGACATTCTCGAATGCAAAAGGAATGCTGGAACCAATCCCCACCCACAAGCCCGAAACAAACAAACATAACCATGACGAGTCAGCAAGAACTATTCTGCAAAGCATGTTGTTGCCATCACTCTGCATAGGTAACGGAAGATTTGGGAGTTTAGCAACAGACAAGTTAGTAATGCATTGTCGCCACTCGCATAGAAGATTCTCGTCTCTGATTCTAGGTCCACTCGTGTCAAATTTTTTTTAATTAACAATAATTTAAAGAAATAACTTCAAGAGCATTGCTCTAGACAGAATTGGCTTGAGCAACAACTAGTTATACAAAAGTCAGACTTGTTTATATTTGTACCGGTATAACTACTTATGATGAGCAAAAACAATTTCCACACAACTGTATCTAGCATATGTGGTTGATATCTATGATTTTCATGGAACAAAGTTCATTTTTTGGATCATTACGATATGAATGGATATTGATTGCAAGGTAGACATTGAAATCTTAAATTTAGTTACGAATTTTTCTTCAAGGTAATTTGTAAACACAGAAACCTGTCTTAGCACAATTCTCGTAAAGGAAACTCATTACTGTACCTAAGTGTCACAGACGAGGTGTTATAATTTGATGCTATTTTTATTAAAAAAAATTGAATTAATTGATAGATATTTTACAACTGAAAGTTTTAGTTTTTCCTCATTATGCTAAAAAAAACTCATACCAAACGATTGAAAACGTCAACCTTTAGTTCAATTTTGCGACTTGCTCTTTTGCTATCCTTGGACAGATGCAACTATTATAAACTTTGTTCATGATTTAAAAATCAACTGGAATATTGATATCCCCGCCCATGGGTGTTGCTACCTGACCCTACGCTCCTGTAAGCGGGGAGGGTTTGAAGAAATACCATCATATATTCGAATTTCATTTGAACCTTATCTTACTTCCCACAAGGTTCTTTCATAGTTGATTTCATAAGTTTCGATAGTTATTGAAATCTTTAAAAAATCAAAATTTACTTTCATAAAAGTAGAAATACTTCTAAATATATTTCAAACAAAGTATTGTGTTAATAGAACCAAATAAACTATGATTACATGTATGTCAAATAAAAAGATACATATGCATTATCTTGTCATATTATATAAAGACACAAAAAAATTTAATAAATAAAATAATATTTTGATAATTGGAAAAAATTTACACTTTTACTTGTGGAGTAGCCTATGAATATTCTATTAAATATAATAGAATATTATATTTGATATAATATTTGAATATTATAAATATTATAATATTATTGGTTTAAAAAAATATATCATATGCTCATAAGTATGAAATCAATATAATTTCAAATATAATGATTAGTAAAATAAACAAGTGAAATGCACAAATATACACATGGTGTAAAACGAAATGTAGGAAAAGAGTGAGGGCTACAAGTTTGGGATGCGAAAATACGTGCTCTCATCCAAGCCATTTAAACTTGAAATGTCCTTGAACTAATTTGGTGTATATATCCCTCCTTCACAATTTTCTCCTCATATGCCCAGAAAGCCAAGGTGTAATGGAACAGTTGATAATATAAATCAAGGTTATCATATATAATGAATATAATATCATTACATATCAACATTATATATGATAGCATGATTTCAAATGTATATAAGGCATAGTGGAGAATGCAACGAAAAGAAAATGAAGTTCCAACTGAACCATATAGAAATAACAAATTCTATCCGATTCTGCACAGCCTCAAATTCGGAGCAAGATGGTTTTAGGTCAAGCGATTCTTTGCGGCAGCAAGTAAAAGATTTATTGAAGAACCTCAAAAATTAAACAACACAATCCATACTCTTCCAGAAGGTAGTTTCAACCAGAAGACCCCAAAAGGTGAAGATGGCTGCGACTTTCCATGCGGACTCATCGTCATGAACCAATGCGAGGGGCCCTAGTCTCCAATTTAGGGTTCTCCCCTGCAATGGACTGATTAAATGATGGTCTATGACAGAGGAACCGGTCATTCGGTTGTGGGCTGTAAAAATAACTTACGTACAGAGAGCCTCTGATGTCAACTACTCATGCGAAGCACAAATCCTGACAGCCAGAAAACTGATCAGTGTGTAGAGTTCAGCAACTACAATCTTTGACAAACGCCGACATAGTCCATCAAACGTCTAAAATCACACATCTGACCAGGTGCATAACGAAGGTGATTTCGCGAAGTGAAGTGCTGCTGGCATAATTCTGTTGACGATCCAGGACGTGATGTACGAAGGTGGGTGTTCATACTCGTCGGTAGTGTACACAACTTGGATCAACCTAATCCGGTCAGCGATCCTGTCTCTACCAAAAAAGATGGGTACTTTTTTCCCAACTTCTAATGCGATTCAGACAAGTCCGAACATGAAGTTTTACTCGACTGCCACCAGAGTTTCTCTCGGTGCTAGGTTCAACAAGATGACTGTCGTGTCTACCATACATTGATTCCGAACTAAGTTCGATCAGTCCATCCAGTCATTGTTACATACATGTCTGGTGGTTGTTGTATGCAGATGTAGTGCTTTCTGGAGAGATTTTCTCTTCAAACGATAACAAGGTATGTACAAGCCAAGCAGAATGTACTACCTGTCCAGATATAAAGAGAGAACAGGAGAAACAGAGCACTCTTTTATGAGCTGTAAGGTTCGGAAGTCGGTGTTGAAAACGGAATTGAAAACCCCTAAGCCAAAGCGCTCATCGTCAAGCTAAGGACTCTTCCGAGAAGCAGGGAGGACTACATAAATTCAATACTTGACCACCACATCGATGGTGATGGAAAAGCCTGGGTTCATGATGTGATAAGCTGCCGAGCAAGCGAGATAGTGTTCGTATAGAAGACGAGAAAAGTGAGTAACGAGATTTTCTCAGTGTGTTCAACTTAAATGACAAGGTGAACATCCGGGGGTTAAGAAAGAAGGCAGAAAGTCTGAATAAGTAAGCGCTGTAGAAAAAAACATAACTTTCCTCACTAAAATTGCACGGATGCACTTGATCATACGACGATTATTTGTCCAAGCGTCGTGCTCAGTGAATGGATAAATAAGCAATTCCAAAGCAATGAGACTGCGAAATAAGACTCGGGTATAGTAGAAGCTACGTCTCCATAGAGAAACAAGCTTCCCAACGGAACTCAGTCTGCATAGCTTCATGGTGACAGCCACCGAAGCTACAAAAAACGTCACTGTTTAACATTCCGGAAGATCTACACGACACAGAATGATGCACGCATGCAGCACAAGCCACATGAATTGAAAAGTTGACAGCACATTCAACAACGAGATAAATCCCACTTCCAATTATAACCCGTTCAATCTGCATTAATCTGGCATTATCTCGTTCTCAACATTCCATTGGCACCAAGCCGACAATTTATAACACACGCAATTGAATCTACCCAAGTTAAAATGTATTCTAAGTCTGAGAAATTCCTGTCAAAACTGCTGTACTTGCAATTCTTAAGCACTGATATCGTACACTACTCATCTTCTTCATCAAAGACGTGAGCAAGGTCATCGGGAGCAACTTGGTTAGCTCCAATGTGGGTTCTTCTGCGTTGCTTAGCCTTGATCTTCTTCGCGTACTTCATCGTCTTCTTCTTTTTGTCCAACGAGCGCACAATGTTTGGTGACACATAGAAGGGATTTTCATAAAGCGTCTGTCCGCCGAAGCTTCCACTGAAGATCTTGATAGGGTTTAGGCAAAACCTTGGGCCAACCTCAATAAGAGTCATGTTCTCCAGATGGGCCTTGTCAATCTTGTCCAGCTTCTCAGTGCTAGACTTGACAGCAGATATTTGGTAGTTTCGGAACCAAATGTGGTTGTCGACGACAGAGAAGGCAAAAACATGATCATAGAAGGGCTTTGCCTTTCGGTGATCTTTGGGAGTAGTGTACACCTGTGTTAGAAGCTCCTTCAGAATTTGAAGATGGGGCGACTCGTCAAAATCAGCAGAAAACGTAAGGAGAGGTCGGGAGCCCTTCAGGTGGTTGCCGGTGAGCTTCAACTCGGCCATGGTGTGTACTCCACTGACCAAAAACTTCGCTGATGGTCCGGTCGGAGACTTCGAAAGCCACATGTACAAATCCTTCTTCTTTCGACACTCGAAAAGCAAACAGCTAGTGCATCCTTTCAGATCAATCAGCTCGTTGAGAGTTGCTGCTTTGTTATCCTTGCACTGCACCTTGACATCCCGCTTGCTATGGGGAAGCAAACCCGTCATATCCACCATAAGGTGACGATACCTAAAAGTAATGCGACGAGAGCAGAGAATGAGTACTTTCTCCTTGTTACGCCATCTCTTCTCCGTTCCATTTTCAGCCTCGACGGGCTCTCCGATCCTCTTCAGCAGCGACCGCTTTCGGGGAGGCTCGACGGGCAGCACCGTAGGCTCAGCCGCGACAGGTTTTCGCTTCTGTCCCATCGCATCTACTCCCCACGCAACGCAGCGCAGCACGGGACGAGCCCTGCGTTTCCTCGATCAAAACCCCTAAACCCTGGTCTCCAAATCCCAAGTCCTGCACTGCACTCCTCCAATTCCCGACAACTTCTCAACAGGTCGGCGAAATCACGCCCTTCACTCTTTCCAGGGCCGTCACAATCTGAACCAGGGCAGAGCAGCGCAGCGCAGGCACACGAATACGTATCTCTGCGTGAGCGAAATTTGCAGCTTTGAACGAAAGAGCTGAAAGGGCCCCGCAGCCTACCACAGTACGAAGGCCGTGATTGTGAGCCGTGAACTGAACTGCGGAGGGTTCAGGATGCCGAGACGAATAAACAGTTTCTTCGTGGTTCTTTGTAATTTCCACTTATTCGTCTTTGTGATGATGTTTGTAATGTTCGATCATGTGAATTACAGTATATCTCTTAGAATCACAGTCTCATTTACTGTTAATGTATGCCTAATTTTGTGTAGTCCAGTTAGCGAAAATCGTATCGGTTTATGAGACCTTCGTCGGGGAGATCTCGAGAAATTCACCTATCATTTCATTCAACACTTTTTATAGGTTTTCGAAAACATTATTTACTTCTTACAATTCTCTGCACCTTATTGAGCAGGATCTCGTACGAATCACATTAGGTTACCACAGAATAACAAAGCCTCTGCATTGCTCTGTAACGTTGATCATATCATCCGTAGGTGTCTATTTGCAGGAAATATCAGTTTACCATGCCGCCAATATGTTTTCATCTTTCGTTTCGTTATTTAGAGAATGATATCGTTTTAACAGTGTGCTCTAATAAAGCAATAGATTTATCTAAAAAAATATTAATAATGGTTATACGATTTGAATTTCAAAATCTTGGAGAGAAACAAGTTCAATCTTCAATATACTTGTAATAATTACAAATGTGTTGATTTAAAAAAGGATATTTAATATATAAATTTATATCTTCAATTAAAATCTAAAAATAAATACACGTACCTTTAGACTTGGGAAAATGGAGAATGTAAAGGTAAAAAATCCATCATTGTAGATCGAAAAAAAAATTATTTCATATTTGCCCTTGGATTACTGCCGTATAAAACATCTACGTTTTTTCAATTTGAAAGCATAGCACTTTCATAAATTCATGTATAAGTACTTTGAGTAACTCATGAATGAATCAAACTATTGAATGATTTTTGCGTGGAAGAATCGATGGAAAATTATTATTTTTTTAATCGTTTTGCAAGTGTGAATATCTGAACAACACTATTTGTTTGTCTGAATCCAAATATGTATAAGATCAACAACTTTTTCCAGTTTCCAACACAAAACGTCAAAATTTTACGTTCAAAAAGAAAAATGTTTTTTTAAGTACATTTTAAGAGGCGTCATGCACAGTGGTGAATTTGAATGCTGATGATAACAAAAAAAAATTGAAATATGTCTTTCATCTCTTGTTAGATCTTGATTCTACTTTATCGAACTTGATTGGCTGACACAAAATCACAAACTTTGAATGTGAGATGATCTACTAGTATCAAATACGTTGATTATACTCACAGTAGAGCTCTGTTTCCTACTAATTATGCTTTGAAGTTGGAAGATGAAATAAGGAGAAAAATGAAGAATACATTATATTTGCTTTGAAAAAATTGCACGAAGTCATTGAAGTATGCAAAACTATCATATGAAACAAAAACATATTTTTTTCTATATAAGAGCTTCAAATTAAATTATTTTTTAGAAGTGGGCTGAAAAAAAATCCAATAAAATTTTTCAGCTTATAATGTCTTTAAAATATTTATACTGACTTTGCTGACTATTCATATATGTTATAAGTAGATTTCATCATTTCAAGAAATATGCAATCAAAATCATACGATCGTTGTGGTATCCTGAGTTACTCAGAAATAATCATGTCTGCAAACTTTGTGACATCTAAAAGTCTGAACTAAAACAAATTTTGAATTTTTGTGTATGAATTTGAAAATTTTTGTTAAGAGATTTTTCAAAGAAATTTATATTATGCTTGTAATAATGTAAAAAAAGATGTATCACAATCGAAATATCAAAATAATATATCATTTTATGAACATGAATTAGGCGCTAATTTCCATTTCCAAAGTAGTAAAATTTGGATGATGTATGATTGAATTAGCTTCATGGTGTTATAGGATTAGGTTATAAATTGATTTTATAAATGATGAATAACCAGAATTTCAAATTAAATTAGATTAATTCATAATAATACATAGGATAATTTTAAATGATTAATTTTAAAAAATCTTATGAAATTTTTACATACATAGTTTTTTCATGATGTTTTTATTAGAATGTGAACAAAGCAGCAATTATTTGGATAGAATTTTGAAATATCGATAATAGTTTGAATGAAAAAATTGCAAAAAAAAATAAAAGATTTATAGTTTTACATACAGAAGCTTTATATGAAAAAAATCAATGAGTTGAAATTTGACCAATTTGATGTGAAATTGCCATAAAAAATCTTGAGTTTGCTTTAAAAAAATAATTTACTTGGCATATCGGCCAAAATTTCACTCATTTGTAGGATTAAAAACAATTCACATGAAGATATATGATTCAAAAAATTCTACCAGATATTATTTTAAAAAATTAATATAGTTTTGCAGTTCGGTCACCAAATATTCACAATGATAATTTTCTTACTTGTGAATTAATTGATTAATTTTCTTTTTTTGGGAAAAAATATTCCTCCTCATGAGTTGTAAAATGTGTGACCAGTGCCGCTACAATAATGAATTTAGAAAATCACTACTTATTGTGCATATAATAAATTAATCAATAAAGAAGTAATTTTTTTTCACAACATAGTATAAGAACTTACCATGGTTCACATTTATATAATGATGATGATTTATCTACATTCAAATGGCTTACACCAAAAATTTAAAAGAATTTATTTATCATATTTATGAAGTTTTGATATATTTTATTTTAATTTCAGATGTATTTATTTATGATCTTGTTTAGATCAGTGTCAACAGAAAGTTTAAAAATCACTCATTAGTTAAAACTACAAATTCCTTTTTTTAACAATCACAAACTTTATTGAGATCATTAGTTTATTAAAAATAATTCAAAGAAATTACATTGTATGTGTTTTATTTTACACATGTGTTTTAGTTTTTTATCATTTGGTCTAAATAAACTATCTTGTATTATTTAGATTTCATACATTACAAAAAAATATAAAAATATATGTTTTAAAGATCAATATTAATTTTTTGTTCAAAAGAATTATTTTTATAGATTTTGAAATTTTACATCATATATCAAATTTTGATTTTATTTCTTTGCAGGATAGATTTATTTCAAATATTTCTTTTCAATATATATGTCAAGTTTTATCATATGTAAGTTTATAAATTTTACTGACATATTTTTTAAAAAAAAAAACAGTATTCTTATTTTTCAAGCTTTTCATTGAAAAAAATTTCTATTCAAAATATGTGTTGAAGATGTGAATAAAAATTCATATAATTTTATTTTACAAGAAAATTTATTCTTTGATACTTATCAGATAAAATTTCAATTAATTTGATCATCGGATTGAAACTTTAGAACGTATTCATAATTAAAACTTGTTGAAGATAATTTCAAAAAGTTTTTTGAAATTAACTTGATCTAAGCAAGTTTTGAGTGAAATTTTGTGAATTTGATCTTTGTTTAGTTAGTTTGGTGAATGATGTATTTTGGATTCATCATGCATTATACGCATACAAGTTGCAAGATTTATAATATTTTTGACAAAAATGAAACCTTGTTAAGTTTGATCTACCCATCAACCTATTTATAGTATACATCTACTTTATATGCTTTTCCAAAAATCAAATGATCAATTTTCACCAGATAAAATGATGTATCAAGTTGGTTTTTTCTACACCTGATTGATTAATTCAATAATTGTTTTATAAGAAAAGAATTATTCCATAGTTATTGTTTGAATGTGTAAAAGTCTGTATGTGTTGTTGTAAATTTTTTTTTAAATCCTTGTATGAATTGTACGTATTTATTTTTATACTTATCATTACTTATCTTGAGATTTAACATTATTTTAACTTCACTATGCAAATTTTGTGATATCAAATAATTGAACTTTTTTGGTGCAAACTTTATGACAGATTATGATTTGCGGTAATATGGTTATAATGATGGTAAAGTTAATGATGTGACGCAAGAAGAAGCTTGAGTTAAAAATTTTTTCAAAGAAAGTAATTAGAGTAGTATGTTATTTTTGATGAGATTTCAATAATTTTGATTTTAGAAGAAGGAGAATCTATTCTTTTTATAAAGAAGCTAAAGTTTTTGCTAAAAAGTTTGAACAAATTTATTCTATGGAATGTAACATGAAATTGTTGATTAACATTGAAACAAAAAAACTAGTAAAAGTTCCAAGAAATCAGTGTTTCATTGCTAGCAAGTGTATGTTTAAGATAAGGATTTAACAATCCAGTTGAATCAATCCAACAAATGAAGAAAATGAAATCTTCAAAGCAAGTTGTGATGCTTAGAGGTGTCATATAAGAGACTTGAACCATTTTTTTAAAGTTGTAACATATGTTACAATTTTATTAGTACCCGCATTATCACAACATTTAGTCTAATTGTGAATCAGATGTATGTACTTACAGCAATAATATATGAATCTTTAGATGAGACAATTTACATTAAAAATGAGTTGGTTTTATAAAAAAGATCAGAAAAGTTGAAAAAGGAAAAAAAAATATTTCTACAAAAAAAGAAACAAAATTATATTTGTAAAATATCAATATCATTATAACGATTGAATTAAGCTTCTCAAGAATGAAATATAAAGTTTGATGAGTTAAAAAAATCACAATTAATTTCACAAAATGTGAATGATTCACATGACTACATGAAAATAAATAAATTATGAAATCTTTAATCTTATTATTCTTAAAATCTACGTGAATAAAATTTTCAAATTGATAAATTTTCAATTTGACGATGATAGATGCAAGAATTTAAAGTTTGCATTTAAGATGAATAATTTAGATACATCCAAGAGTATACTGAAAATAGGTATTTATAGAAATTTGAAAAAATCCATGATCAAGTCTACACAAATATATTAAATGTGAAATCTTTAAAATTTAATATGACAATTTTCTAAAAAGCGAAATAAATGTTTGCATCATATTTTAAAATTACTATACATTAATGTTCAATTTATATGGTAAAAAAGGTTATCAATTCTCCATGACAAAATAGTGGTAGTATGATATATTTGATCGTATGTAGCAACTTTGATATTTATCTAAGCATGGAAAAGGTGAACATGAACATGTCAAATCCAATAAAGATGTTGTTGAAAGATATGAAATGAATTTTAGCTTCTTTGATACTTTAAATTGTATGAATAGATTAGTTATGGATTTAGTCGGAAAATTGCCCATGTTTAACATAATCATAATTAAATTTAGCTAATAACGACTAAGTTTAGCTATCAAGTTTATACTTGGGAAATAATTTAATTTTTTATAATATATATATATTTTTTCTTAGTCTTAAAACTAGTGAAAATATGATTAGTATTGAATTAATACATACATAAATATATAGGACGGTGTGACACAACTTGCATTCAACACTTTGTAGATTTTCAATAAAAATCTTGTTGTTTCATGTAAAAATAGTATAGAATGGTGAACAAGATAATTGTTGGTTAAGCTTTGTGTCTGTCTGTATACTGGACATTTTTGGATTGCATAATTTTCTTGATTTTTGTTCTTTCAATTGATATCAGAGGGACATGACGACAGATACCCGATTCAAATTATACAAATGACAATATCAAAAGAGCAAATCTTCTCAACGATCTCAAGCATGAATGTGTTAACAAAGATATTTACCTGTGGAGTTATAGTAAGAGTATTAAAGCTTGAAGGAAAAACTTATGTTAGATCCAATGATCCAATTCGGTCACTTTCAACCATGAGGAGCATTTTCCTTCATAAAAGAATATGCAGTATGTAAGAACATCTATGGATAGTATTAGTGAAGATAGTCAAGAGTATAGAGTTTATAGTTTAAGTTATAGTTTCAAGTGCAATTTTAAAATGTTGAAAACAAAGAAGAATTTTTTGATGATGTGTTGAGAGCAAATTTGAGTGCATCCATAGTACTATAATGAATTCATATTTGCATTCATATCGTTGCACAACGTGAACTGCAGTCTTGGTGTAATTTATGCCATCAAGACTGTAGTTCACAAGTGAGGATTTTCTCTTAATTTTGACAACAATTGGTTTCTCCAGAACTTGGTGCAAAGTACTCTTAAGATTACTTTGCACCAAGTTATATATTATGCCGATGTTGGTATGTAAAACTTGATTATTTTCTTATTTGTCACTATTGATGTGCAAGGATTTAATAAACATTGCAGAGATCATGATGGAGACCACCACTACGAAAATGAAGGAGTTTACATTTCTAGAACCTACTATGCGTTAAATAGTTTTAGGTTTTGCATGTTCATGCAAACTAAAGCTGGCATTGCATGCTGATTGAGATGGCTACGATTGGCATGAACTATATGCATCCTGCAGTCCGAAGTTCTATCCAAAATCTCATAATTTGCTCTCCTATCACTCAAAGTTCTTGTAGTTGTTCAAAAGTAAGCACATACAGCTATAAAAAATCGCAGTCGTCATTATTCATTTCAATTTCATATTCTCGTTTGAATTTGTTGTGATCTACTTGACTAGGATAATCTACAACTGCAAGACTAGAGAGATGAATAATAACATTTTTTGCTTCAGCGATGTCGTGTAAGTTGGAGTGTATTGAGATACAGTCCAATGATGTATAACTAACTATGGTAGAAAAAAGTTTGGGCTAATTCAAGTCTTCATAGTCACAAGCTGCACTGTACTTTGGCAGTTCAAGTATCACAAGAAAGTAGTGCACTTGGTGCGCTACGCGCTGGAGGTCTTCATTGGCACAAGCTAAAGCATCAAGTATCACAAGAGAGCAATCCACTTGATCCACTACTCATTCCTAGACACATTTAGGCTAGCAATGACAACTCTATGCAATGGGAAGAAAATTCCAACAAGCTAGTGAAAAATTTTGTTGCGGAAAATCAACCATCGCGTTCAGAACTTTAACAGTCCATATGGACGGTTAAAGTTTTCCGCCGCAGTCCATATGGACTGCGGCGGAAAATCAATCAACTGTCGTTAAGGTCTAACAATGGAAGACCTAAATTTTAATTCGTTGGCAGGAAATTTTAGCCAATTAATTTTTAACTATTAAAATTTCATTGATTTAAGTAATGAAATTTGAAAACTCTATGCCCATGCGTTGGTAAAAGAGAGTGAATTCTAACTATCCTAGCATGATGATGTAATCATTGATTATATTTGGCTTGAGTTGTAGGTTGAAGAATGTGAGCTGGAACGATTTGTATATCCAAAGATTTTATCAATTGGATTTGATGTTTTAGAGTAGGACAATTTGGGGCATCAACGCATCCGGATTTAACATTGAAAATTTGACACAACATTGATGAAGTGTTTCTCACAAACACATATCGATATAAGCAGACATTTTTCTACTTGCACAATCATTGTAAGGCTTTTGGAGTATATTTGAGTACTCAATCCAAACATCTGAGATCCTCATGGAAATTTGATGTGAGTATGATATTGTAGTATTATTGCAAGCACAAGCCAGTTATCGTCGTCTATGCATTTGGAGTCGTGAAAAGCAGATTATGTGAATTGAGAAAGCAAATGCATTTGTTTATGAAGCAGATGTGGTGTTTAGATTAGAAATCCTCTCAAAGACTTGAATATGATAATATCATGCCATTTATTTGCATGTCAATAGACAATTCAATTCTAGTTAATATCATTATGCTCAGTTGTCTTACTTTCCTCTTCATCTTTGACCGTTTCAACATGTACATTTAATACAAACAAACTTTGTTAATTGAATGTAGATGTTTTATGCTCATTATATTAATGTTTTTTCAAACTATAGTAAGGCCGCTGCCACATTACCAGCAATAAGCTCATGGCCGGAGGTTAGCGTGGTTTTTGTAGGCTTAAGTTGGCCACCTGGACAAAGCTCCGGAACCTCTACCACATTGCCATAGTGACTTTGGAGTGCAAAGAGCTTCAAACACATATCTAGTTTGTCGAGATAGAGAGAATACTCTCCCAGCACATCATCTTTTTACGCGGAGACTCAACTCAAAAATACACGTGGAGTTTATCGATCCCGAAAAAACCTGAGTTTCCAAGCGGAAATGCCTGGAAGTTCGCAGCAATCAATTTTCTTTGCCACTTACGATCTTTTAAATTACCGCTACCGTGTGGTAAAAGGAGTACTTGGCCAGCAAATGACCGGCGAGGGTTCATTCATTGTTCATTGTTCATTGGTCGTGTGGCTTGGCACTAAGTGAGGCAGGTTACTGAGGAGTTTAGGAGCCGATTGTGAGTTGGAGTTCATTAAGCTTTTCAATGCCACAAGCCAAAGTATATTTTGGCTCCTCAAGATAAGTATATAAGAGCTCTTGAGGAGATATATACACGAGAGATGTTGTAGATCGGCCGCTACCGAGGAGATGGATAGCTAATTGTGATCAGGAGCAAGTCAGAGTTAATCAAGGTCTTCAATGCCACAAGCCAAACTATACTTTGGCTCCTCAAGAATCACAAGAGTAAGAGCTCTTGAGGAGGTATATATATGAGAGATACTGTAGATGGGCCGCTACCTTTCAATATCTTGAAATTATTTATGAATCATTCAATGTAGTACATGGTGATATGTAGAAACTTGTTTGTAAATTTTATCATAACTTACTAGAATACTATAATCAATCCTAGCATGCATCTATCTTATCAAAAAACATTTAATTTTGATTCAGCCCATATCAAGGTTCATGATAACATGTAGACCATTTAATCTTTATCTCAAAAAAAATTTAATCTAGAGGAAATCTGAAACAAAATCTATAACTACTATACTAACCTTGTGATAATCACTTGCAATCTCGATTGTGCACATCATGTATCAGACTTTACTACAGATTCAAAACTATCTCAAGTAAGTTTATTTTTCAATTTAAAAACAAGCTTAATATATAAATTTTGTTAATAACAATTTGATATACTAAAAGCTTCACAAGACTCACATACTTTTTCAAGACACACACATAGGTTTACTTTATAATTTGAATATCTTATAAAAATGTATTAAGCTTTTCAACATCCTTAGTTTGAAAATTTTTGCGAAGGTGACTTCACCATATTTTTCACCATGTTATCGTTTCTTTAAATGTGCAATGTATAATTTTCCAAAACTCTCCAAAAATTTTGAAAAGTTTTTAAACATATCTTAGATTTTTATACGATTGCAAATATAAAATGTCAACTTTAGGCTCCAGTGAATTCCAAATAATTTTAACTTAAGTTTGAATTTACTATACAGCCAAAAAATTAATTAACTATGATATAAACAATAACAGTTGAATATAGTAGATTATAAACATCATAATTTCAAACCGAACTAGATTAAAAGGAGAATTGACAAATCCATCATTTGAGAATAATTTTTTTTTTTGCCAAAAATTAAAGCAATAACTCACTTTAGAATGTTTCTAGAGAGCGATAATGACGAATAAAAATCCAAATGCTGAAAGTTGTTGACGCGTTGAAATTTATAGCATAATAGAATAACAAGATATAACTGATCAAAACTCAAGCTGCATCATTCAAACCAATGAGATAATCCGATTTAGAGAATTTATAATTTGATGATGAATCGATTATCCAACAAAGCAGTAGAAATGTTGTTCAATCTTTTTCGATCTATTCTGCTCGCTAATCCGGAATACGTGTTTTGTGTGTTAGACGGATGACGAAAGCCCGATTGCGTTGGATTCTTCTCTTCCACTCGTAATGCGCTGGTTCGACAGTCGGTAAATTATACAGCCAGTTGTAGAGTCTGGTGAGAATGTAATGTGCAGCATTGACATACGAGAGAGGGCTTCAGCACGAAGAATCACCACGAATGAGAAGGAGAGAAGGCCGAAAGAAGAGAGGAGACAGTGCTCGAGTCATGATGTCCTGGGACATATTAAATGTTGATAGCTAACGAGAGAAGCTGAACATTTTGAGCCTACGAGGGTGATCGCAGTTGAAACGAGGCAATCAGTCCGTGCGATGGGGAGATAACATGCTCGCTTTGGCAGCTCGATCTCAGCCCTCACGAATCTGCTCCGTATGACCACGTTTATCTCCTCCTATACACAATTAATTACAAAAACCCAGATGACAGACACGCGACCGATCAGATGGATCTCTTAATCCTAAATTACCTGGAGTCTCCGGATCGAACTGATCTCGAAGGACTCGTCACTTTTCGTCGTCCTCATCCCTGATCTGTTCTGCGCGAACTGGCTGATAGCCACCTTCCACACGGTCATCCACATCCTGCTCACCGGATCTCGCAGTGCAGGAAAAGTAGAACAAGGCCCAGGAGATGAGAGACAGCTGAGTCAACCATGACAGAAGCACAGTGTATACCAATCCGAGAATGAGATCGGGCTTCTCGATGCCTCGTTCGCTCAAGACAGCGGGATTCGGACTCAGAAACCCCAAGATGCTTCCGGCGCAGAGGTAGATGATGACCAACAGCAGCCCGGTTCCCCATCTTTGATTCATGATAGAAAGTGCTCGCCTGAGAGCAGGGAATCGGAAGGTCTCTTCGTAGTAAGTCACGCCGTTTGCCTCTTGGATCAGAATTTTAACTATGAAGATCATAATGGTGGAAGTGAAGCCGATCAGGATCAGGTACACTGCCATCAGAGAGCCGGAAAATGTGATCTTCAGAATGCTGAAGACGAAGATTGATCCCAGGAGCACTGCGAATACGAAGGCCATTGGGTACACAGCAGTGACAAACAACTTCGGCCACATGCTTCGGAACCCAATTGGGGGGGTCACTTCCTTGCCCCAGTATATGCTTCCCACAGCGTAGAAAGTCGCAGCAACGACGAACAAGCTCAGGCAGAAGGTGAAAATTGCCACAAGGACAAGGATCAGGCTCCACAGCAGCAGAGGCAGATCGGGGAGTGGCGCCACAGGTGGGGGAGCCTGAGGAGGAGCATTGAGTTGAGGCGGAGCCTGAGCCTGAGCAGTAGCCGGATTCGGGAGCAGAGAGAGTAGCCAGCCTGCTTGAAGGAACTGAACTATAACAAAGAGGGCAGTGTAAGGCAGGACGATGGCGAACTGCACCGACGGTAGGGGAGGGCGCTGAAACAGATCGATGGACTCCCAGACGATTCCGAATGCACCCAATTCCGCCAGCTGCTGCCGGGTCAATCCGAGGCCAGCGGCCTCTTCCATCGTGTCCACACTTTTAACTTTCATACTGCCTGCCCTTGCCTCACCTCAGCCTTTTCCAATCACTGGAGTTGGAAATGCCAGTTGATCGGTACCAACAGGTTTGTTTGATTGATTGATCGATCGACTGATTTCACTTAAGATGCCACGTGATAGATCGATCGATCGATCGATCGATCTACTGGCTTGACTCGGAGATCATCGACTTCGACCAGGAACTGCCCACTCTGAGCAGTTCTCGCGCACTGCCGAAGATGGATTCCTCCGAATGGACATGCACATTATGCATATCCTTGCAAGCTCGACTTCCCCCGTTCTTCAAGATCTGAAGCCTGGACAATGGTAGGATCTCCCAAAGGAGCAGACATCAGTATCTCTGTCCGCTTTTCTGAAAATCCAGTCCTGAAAGATGATTGTCAACTTCTCTGCAACCCACACGCGGTCCTTCATGCGGAAGATGCTGCTTGAAGATACTTCGGCAGAGGTCATGCCAGGTTTCCAGGCCAATTGCACAGAACAGGCACAAGTCACAGAATGCGTAAGACCTCGGATGAAGAGGAAGGACGGACTTTGTCGTGGAGAAAAGCAGAACGATGACAGCACCACTTCATCAGACGCAATTCACGGGAAACACGACAATAAAAAGTACCCCGCCCAAATAAAACAGTAAAAGCCAAATGCGAAGCAACAGATTATGTCTCATATTGTTAATTTCCTCCTCCGAAATAAGCTCGCCCACTTTTCCCACAAAAGTAGAGAACGAGGCAGTGCTGCTATCGTGGTAAACAAATCATCCAGATCCGCATAGACTTCCCTTCCCGCCCTCTTTCCACTTTCATCCAAGCAAGTGGCTGGCACGTCCTCTGTAGGTGACAGGTCAATCAACAGACGAATGGTTGACAGACTCGACAGTGTATTAGAAGCTGGCGTCACTGGAGCAACCTCGGTGCTTCCTTCCTACAGTACGTGCTCAGAAAACAGTGAAGTGAATGGATCGACAAAAGCTTGGACCAGAAAGATACCTGAAAACAACTGAAACCGTGCTGTTCTGGGCTGTAATCACCGAGCTCTGAGCACCGATGACCAGTTTGTGAGCTTGGAAGTTCAAGTTCGATGAGCACTGAGATTATTTCGATCCGATCAGAACTTCGTCGAGATGATGAGTAGAGTTTTCACTGCCTCCTGTTTCGTGGAAATCTTGATGCAGTTTGCTGGGCGACAACGTTCGGAGTTTCGGAATGCACGCGTATCACCTCAGGAGAGGAATTCTGCTCGTTTATCAACGTCCAGTTGTTCGAATTCGAACGAGCAGAGTGCAGCTTTACGATGCAGTTTCTGACAATGTGAAGCACGTGATTTTTTCAGGCCCATCAAAGTGTGCAGCGAGATGGATTGAGTCAGTTCCATGACGTTAGCGTTGAGGAATGAGTTCCAGACATGTGACAACAGGAACCAGGGGAGAATTCTTTTCTTCTTCAGTCCATCTCCTATCAGAGAAGTTCATTTCCTGAAGAATTACCCAACTCACGCGTACTTCTCTCTAATTACCTTCAAATATTGCTGGAACGATCGATGAGTTTAATCGTGACTCTCTCTTACTATCATAGAAGAATTCCAATCTTCTCTTTGGTACGAAATGGGTCATGGACAGCATACGCTACTCGTCCTTTACTTTCGTACAGTTCGCAGTGCTCAGTGTTGAATCTGGCATGCACATGTGAGTTTTCCACAAGTGATATGATATCTGTTGGCCACCTTTGTCCAGCACCTTACTGCCCAAATTGACGATGGCTTTGATTTGATCCACATGAGAGGTCCAGATGATACGATGATTGCACTGATTTCAAAAATACAGACAGCATATGAAGACTGTCAGCACTCATAAAATTCTGTATAAATGTTCAGATGTCCTGCTTATAACCATGAGCGATTCTTAGGAACTGTTATAGGAATTCAAAATACTCAAGTTTGGTACCGAAAAGCAACAACTTTAGTTTATGATATGCGGATACGAAAAATAGTAGCTGCCAATGACGAGGTTGAGCTGCCGGTTGACAGCGATGTAATGTCATAAAGAACCTCTTCGATGGGCGTTCATTGTGCTGACATGTTTCGACACTCACACCCTAAACATCATTATCCCTCAGCCAACATCTAAAACTGGAACATGTAAATGGCAAAGCTGAATCCATTGTAAAACCTCGATCTCCGTGTCCATCCTTGTGACTTCACGAAATTATTGGGAGTGCAATGTTTCGAATGACCACTTTAGCCTTCCTCAGTGACTCCTTCCTCAGTTCCTACGCTCGTCACGATACCGTCGTAAGTCGCATTCCGAATTTCAACGAGTTATAGAGTGAACAGATTTTGAACTTAAGAAATTTGATGTGGTTGAAGAACTTGCCTACGTCCACGATAGGGAGACCATACGCTTCACCAATCAAGGCTGCAACTGGAATAAAAGAGAACACTCTCAACTTTCTTAACTCTCAACCCGAATAAAAAACAACCTTCGGATTTCAGCCTCTCTCTTTCGAACATCTGCCAAGTGCGTTGTAATGTCTCCCAGCTTCACATACTTTTTGCTAGTCTCCTGTTAGTATAAGTTTAGTATGTGGTCTTATGTTAGCTGTCACCTTATTATAAAGGTGAGGAACTGAGCAAACTAAGTAATCAGATGTGTAGCACACTATAAGACAAGTTACATGGACTATATGTATTATTTCTCTTCACTAATATTCTAGCTAACCTGATAATTATCATTTATTTTCAACATGGTATCAGAGCACAGTCCGACGTGACGCATAATTCTGGATCCACCTCTGCGGGACGTCACACTCACTCATGTGGTGTAGACGCAAGAATGGATGGGATAGAAAGCGTTTTGGTATGCAGCAAAATATCCTAATTGACAAGCCGCGAGTCCAAATATGGATTCATTAAACCTAACATTTCGGCTTATATAAATCTTCTCATTGATAGTATCATAGACGCGATAGGCTTTAGATTGAGTATCGTAGCCTATGAAGGTAACCGGGAGCACTTTTGCAAAAAGCTTGTCATGGAGAGTTGTCAATAGGACGGAGTCAGCACATCCGAAAACTCTCAAATGTTTGAGATTGGGAATCAAACCAGTTAATTTTTGAAAAGGAGTGTACATCTAGACGGCTTTAGTAAAAAGCTGATTCAATATGTATACTGCTGTTCTAGCTGCCTCTTCCCATAGAGGCTTCGGCAACTGAGTATATAATAACAAACTACGAGTCATTTCAAGTACAGTTCTATTTTTCCGCTCAGAAATGCCATTTTGGTGTGTGAGATATAAGCACTGGTGAGGTAGTGTTTAATACCTGATTGGATACACAAGTCATGGTATGCATTTGAGAGATATTCTCCTCCCCGATCTGTTCGTAGAGCAGCAATAGTTCTATTGTAATTATTCTCCACCAAGATCTTGAATTCTTGAAAAGACTGTAGAGCCTCGGACTTTGTTCTCAAAAATTAGATTAAGGTGTATCTGGTGTAATCATCGGTGAACATCAAGATGTAACGTTTCTTGGTTAGTGAATCACAAGGAAGAGGTCCACAGAGATCAAAATGAAGTAGTTGTAATGGTTGCGTGGTCTTTGTGTGAGAGTCCTTGGGCACTCGGTCCCTACTTTGTTTAGCCCTGAGACAACTGCTTCAAAGAGACTTGATGACGAATCTGAGGAATGTCTACATCCAACTTTTTGGCAACCATCAGATGAATTTTCTGATAGTTTGCATGCCCCAAGCATCAATGCCAAAGCTCTGCTTGTGTGACAGAACACATCTGCAAATCAGGTTGAGGGTCTTCAATATTCCAAACATCAGTAGACCTCATTAGTTGAGTAGGAGACAATGTTGTGAGGGGATTCATAGACAAACTGTTTGGCTTGGAAAGCCTGTAGAGACTATTGCGTGGATCTCGTTCTCCTTGAAGTAATACCTTACGTGTGTTTCTTTTGTTGAGTACATAACATTGTTTAGAGTCGAACAATGCTATATGACTCAAATCAGTGAGGCGACCTACGGAAAGTAGATTTCGCTTAACACCAACAACATAGAAAACATCAAAAATCTTATTATCAGTTAAGATTAGATAGCTTTTTTCATCGACAAAAAGGACTTGGTTACCCGCGGTCATAACTGAAAGATGTTCAGTTTGTTTCTCAATATCAGAAAGCAAAGAACTATGCCCGGTTTGATTGCGACGAAGCTCCACTGTCAAAAAACCAAGACTCCTTTTCTACTTGACTGATTCCTAATCTCAAACATCTGAGAGTTTTCGGATGTGTTGACTCGGTTCTATTGACAACTTTCCATGACAAGCTTTCTACAAAAGTGGTCCTAGTTAGCTTCATAGGCTACAATACTCAATCTAAAGCCTATCGTCTATGATACTATCAATGAGAAGGTTCATATTAGCCAAAATATCATGTTTAATGAATCCATATTTGGACTCGCAGCTCGTCATGACCCGGATTTAGTTGCTGATTGGAATATTTTGCTGCATCCCAAAACGCCTTCTGTCCGATCCATTCTTGCGTCTACATCACTCGAGTCCGACGTCCTGCAGAATTTCCACCTCTGCATGCCGGTACACCGAACCTCCATCAAAGTTGCCATCACCATTTGTGTCCTCAGCTCAACCACTTCCTCCACCTTTTGAACCCTCCTCAGTTGAGGCTCCGTGGTTCTCTGTGGATGTGCAGAGAACCACAGTCTGCTTCATTCGCAGATTCAGCCAACTCCAAACCTGATCCGACCCCACTGCCCTTGCCTCAACAAAATTTTACCGACGAAAATCTCACATCTGACCGGCCCATCACTCCAAGCTCTCGGAGATCCCTCTTCTACTGGAAGGATTATATCAATTACTATACCAAAGTGCTTAATAACACACTAGAGTGTTACAATGTAGAAATTATTGATTACTTGGGCATCAAGGTTACATTTTATTGGGCAATCAATATTCCTGAATGATATGCATCAATGCACTTATGAAACCTGACCAAGAGGTGCGGAAAATGCTAGAACAAATTTGTCGAGAAGTTGTGAATGATTGAAGAGTTGAATTCTATTGACAAAAATGACACTTGGACTTTAGTCCCGCTACCACCTTGGGCCAAGGCAATCACTTGCATATGGGTTTTTTGGGTGAAGGAGTCACAAGGAAATTCTGAACCACGACTCAAGTCCTGCCTAGTGGCAAGGGGCTTTCAGCAAAAAGAAAGTATGGACTATTCTGACATCTTTGCACCTGTAGTAAAATGGTCGACAGTTAGGACCATTTCAGCCATAGTTGGCTCTTCTGGATGACCTATCACAGATCTCGATGTAGAAATTGCCTTTTTAAATGGCATTTTACTGAGTATATGTACACCAGCCACTTGGATTTGCAAAAATTGGCTTTGAGAACTTTTTGTGTAAGCTAAATAAAGCTCTTTACGGGCTTAGGCAACTCATAGGCCTAATATGAATGATAAATATTTACGTCTAGCAGGATGGACTCGTAGCATTTGGACCCAAACCTCTACATCCTTAAGGAGTACTCTCTCATTGTTCCATTGATGTTGTACGTTGATGACATGTATATCACTGGTAATAATCAGTCCAAATTTTTTGAGATTAAGTCTGATCTTATGACTCATTACGAGATGAGCGATCTTGGAGAGATTAAAAGATATTTACGAGTAGAATTTGTTTAAAGTTAGGTAGGACTTTTTTTGCACCAAAAGTCTAATACTCTAAAGGTTCTCAAGAAGTTCATAATGGAAGACTACAAAACTTCAGCACTGCCTATAGAAGCGGACGGGTTTAGCTGCACAAACTTATACATAGCCCCTATATAGGGCCTTCATAGACCCACGCAGGTGTCATCCTGCAGTGACCCGTGACGGAAGTTCTTCTTTTCGCTGCGACTCTCCTCTTTTGGACCAAAGATGGAAGAACGTGCGGGCAGGCTAACCGGGCAGGTTTTTCATTGGCACTCAATTTTCCGGTGGAGCATCAAAGTGATCTCCGGCAGACGGATCTAACGATGGACTATAAGAACACTTTGCGGGGAGGGTCGGCGGACCATACATTCCGGCAACCATGTAGATGCACTCAACCGGATGAAATTCCAACAACCATGTAGAAGAGGGGCCGTCACTGTAGAGGCTGCAACGTTGTATCTATTGCGTTGCAATGATCTACGCCGTAAGAATGATTGCGGTCGTGTCTTGGAACGTTGCGGGAACTAAAAACTAAAACTGAATCGCAAGAGGGATAGCTCATATGGAATCCCTAGTGTTCAAACTGTAATTTTTGTAATCAAACTGTGATAACATATTGTATAGTACGGCCGTTTGTAAAAGTTTGTGCAACTAAGCGAGTCGTGTGAAGAATACACAGTAAATAGTTCTATCTCGAACCCTTTTCTACCTGTATCTGTCAGATACCTGTATCTGAACACTAAAAGTTCAGAACAATTTGATTTGGAAGTCTTCGATGTGCATTGAAACTTACAGTGTGAGACCTCTGATAGGCACGTCCAATCTCGAAGTAGATTCACTTAAAGTTTTGTGTGACTATCAGAATGTTGTCTTTGTCACCTATGCCGA